ATAAAGCAACTCCCTCAGAAGATTTTAAGAGTGAAAACACACTGAAATTGGTATCTATATCACATGGTGCTGTATCAAGGATGCCTTGGTCCTGTGAGGGGGGTTGTTAAACTGCTGTGTCCCATTAGTCCAGATTTCTGGATTTGCAGATTAACCCCGTGGCAGAGCATACTGACAGGTTTTCTTTTGTAAACACAAACAAAATAACTGATGAGCCCTCTTGGTATGGATTATGCTGTCAGGAAGCCATGCACATTCATTTCTTTGAGATATTCATATCAGTGTGACCTGTTCATTTATGGCTCACTTTTGACTTCTTGTAGCAAATATCCTAGGGAAATATTTTGTTGTTGTAGTTGTTTACTCGCTAAGTCATGTCAGACTCTTTGTGATGCCATGTACTGTAGCCCACCAGGCTCCTCTGTTTATGTGATTTCCCAGCCAAGAATACTGGAGTGGGTTGCCATTTCCTTTTCCAGGGGATCTTCTTGATCCAAGGATTGAATGTATGTCTCCTGCATTGGCAGGCGGATTCTTTACCCCTGAGGCACCTGGTAAGCCCCCAGGGAAACATTACCCTCCAAGAAATGTCAGCAAATGTGTGAATCAAAATTCTTAAAAGTGTTTAATGCTCCTTGACCTAGTAATACTACTTTGGAGAATTTTATCCTAAGGGATTAAACAGGCATGTGAAAGATTTATGGCTGTATGTGTGCTCAGTCATTCAGTCATGTCCAAATCTGCAACCACATGGACTGTAGCCCACCAGGTTCCTCCGTCCATGGGATTATCCTGGGAGGAATACTGGAGTGGGTAGCCATTATCTCCTCCAGGGGATCTTCCCTACCCAGTGACTGAACCCACATCTCCTATGTCTGTGCATTGGCAGGTGGATTCTTTACCACTGAGCCACCTGGGAAGCCTGATAAATATTTATACACAAGGGTGTTTGAAGTGGTTTCATAGTGAGAAATTGGAAATAACAAATGTACAACTATAGAAAAATGGTTACAATATTACATACTCATGTTGAAAAACATGCAACCTTTACAACTCATGTTTTTGAAGAAAGTTTAATGACATAGGAAAATAGCAAATATAATATTAAGTGAAGAAAGCAGATAAAGGAAAGTAACAGTGAATATCTCTGGATGGTATAATTATAGGTACCTTTATAATTTTCTATATTTTCGAAAACTTCTAAAATGAATAAAAATTATAATCAGAAAAGAGTAATGAACATCATATATACATGAATATATATCTCTAAAAGAAATCCAGGAAATCTGGGGTAGTTTTAGCACCTAGCTCTCAATAAACATTCATGGGGTAGGTAGACAGATGAATGAATAAAAGGCAGTTGACACTTATAGGTACCATCATTGACTTTATATGATTGCAAGAAATAACAAATGAAGATTTATTAATTAAAAGGAGAAGAATTTCAGACCAGTCAGCAGTTTGAAGGATGACATAGAAGGTACTGAAGGAATCACAAAATGAGTGGCTGATGGCAGCTAAGGTGTGGGGCCAGTTGCTGTTCTTGTTGCCCAGCTGTCAGCACCATCTTTCTTCTCGTTCTGTGCATCCTCGAAGTATCTCTCGAGCCTGCTGTTTTCACTGGTCTCTGTTCACTTTGGCCAGTGACTGAGCAAGTGCAGATGAAATCAAAGTTACAAGTTCATTTCCCATGTGAACCAGCAAACACTTCATCATACAGGGTGACAGTATCCCAAGGCCAAGTCTGGCTAACCAGCTCTCAGAGCTGGCTGTTTGGTCATGTGGACAAGCAGGGGTGTGGTGAAGGATCAGGGAACATTTGTGAGACAACTCAAAACACCCGTGTCCAGAGGGCTGTGTGTTCTGTTCTTGAGGGTTGTCCTCTGAAACAGAGGTGTGCTATGCATAACATTAGGTACCCAAGGAATTAGTATAAAACTTAGCCATGTCACAGTATTTTTTTAACAGATTCACAGTAAGCTGTTCACGGAAATGATTGATGAGCCCAATTGATCCACATTCTGTCCTACAAGGTATTAATATCTTTTGGCTGTTTTGATCAAATTGCTGAACAGGATCTGGCTTCTCCGCAAGTGTATCAGGAGACAACACTGGATGCGTGAATGAAATCTAAATATTTCCACGCCAGTGCATTCCCTTATCTGTACAGGAACCTGCATCAAAGAAAGCCATTAGAGTAATACAGAGCTTTCTGTATCTCTGCTCTTGGTGGCTTATCAAACATAGGGTTCTTGATTGCGGTTACTCTTAAACACAAGTATATGATAACAGTGCCCAGTTTATATCTCCTCTGTCTTGATCCTGCTAAGGTATTAGATTGATGTTTGTCTTTTCCAGCCTGAGTCACCTCTCATCACTCATTTTTCAAAACCCTTATTCAGGAATTGAGGAATTCATGGTTTGGAGCCTGACAATCCTTGTCCTAGAGGTCACAATGCCTGCAAACCTGACTGATTCCCTTGAATCAATCAGCTGGATATTTTATACCTCAGGATTTTTAAGGAAGAGGAAGAGAATATTTTCTGAGCACTAACAATGTGCTGGGTTTACTAGGCATTTTTACATACAGTGTCTGAGTTAATCTTCACCAATAACCAAATAAAGTAGGTATAATTACCCCCAATGTTACAAATGAGAAAGCTGTGGCTTTGAGAACTTAAACGACTGAAGCATAATTTGATTACTGGTCGGTTGGACTTCAAAACCTGCGATTTTCCCATTGGACACACCGACTTCCAGGAATAGCAGGGTTTTTTTAAGCTGAACCTCATAGCACAACAATCAGCTGGCCTCCGCTCAGCTCCTGCCTTTCTCCTGTAACTGAATTCCATTCCACTTTGCTTGTGTTACCTTGGCAAGATCAGGCCTTTGCAGCAAGGCCAGAAAAATAAGTGTTGAACCACTAATAAGGAGACCATTGATTTGAGCCTGCTTTCAATTTTGTCCTCAAACCCAGTTATACCCTTTGTGTTTTACCTCATTCCCAGTAACTCATAACCCAGTCCAAGCTGGCATAACTGGTACTTGCTGGGTGCTTAGCCTTTCAAGGCATATTGGACTCCATCATCCACTCAAGAGCCAGAAAGTTTTTCAGTTGTAGGAACATAAAGGTTACTATGGCAAAGGCAAGCACGATGCTGCTCTAGGTCAGAGTAGCAAGCAGAACAACTTGCAAAATGATCTACCAGAGGAGGCTTAATGTGTATTAGATGAGATCAGAGAAAAATATGCCATTTGGTCTGAAGGTAAGAGAAGAAAGGGAGAAGGGAACTTTCAAGAGCATGGACATGAAAAGGGATGACCGTTAACTTCAGAACAACTGAGGAGAGCAAGCTGGGGGTTAATCTAAGACTGAAGGGGAATGAAAACCCAAGTGCAAAGCATCCTTCTGAGAGGCCAGTTCCATCCAGGTTCTGAGCATCATGGTTTGAGATTGGAATGAAAATTGTCAGAGGCCTCTTAGAGTTAGGCATTACACATTAGGCTCAGATGTACCCCCAAGTCATCATTTGTAGAGATATCGAGGGGTTAACCTTCCAAGGTTGTTTGGCACCAGGTCCCAGACAGATCAGTCTGTACTGTTTTGGTTTCTTCCTTTCCCATTTTTGTTGTCCGCTTGGCAGCTTTCTAGGGAAATGATCTAGTTTAGGGCCTTAGGAGACAAACTTCCAAGGAATGTAATGTGGAGACTAGGAGGTTGGAGTAAGGGTTATAGGAAACTCAAGTAGGCTGAACATGGCTCCTAGATTTCTTCCCTACTATGCTCTTATAGTTTCTGCTGCCAAGGTTGCCCAGAGGGAGCCTGAGCATAATTCCCAGTTGCCAACTGTCATTTTCTGTACCCACAAGAGAGCAGAATGAGGCTGGTCTCCTGGGCCATTTTGGAGGCATCCTCTTATGCAACTGAATTTCTTAGGGAAATGCAGATTTGGGAGTAAATGGCAGAAGGTCGAGCTTTGAGGAGCAAAGTGGGCCCAGTGTGGAGAGCTTGGCAGTGCCGTGTTTTGGTACCTGCCCCTTTCTTCCCTTTAAGTGTCTTGGAATCTGTGGTTCAGCATCGTCACCAGCAAGAAGCTACAAGTGACATAAGAGGCCACCTGAGGGAAAGGGGCACCACAGAGTTAAGAAGGTGGTGGGCTGGGTGGGTAGGGGGTTAGCAGCAGAAATAATCACAAGACTGGCTATTTGTCAAAGAAACACTCTTGAACACCATGAAGTGTGGGAAAAGACCAGCTTTAGTATCTATTTCAGGTTCCTACATTTATACAACCTCACTACATAAAAATGTCCAATTACATCAGGGAGGGCAGGACTCCTCGTTTTATCAAAGCAATCACTATAGTAAACAGTTACAAAGAACAGAACCTCATTTTTCTAGTACTGTGCTGTCTAATCTGATAGCCTCTGTCCACGTGTAGCTCTTCAGCATTTGGAACATGGCTAGTTTGAATTGAGATGTTGCATAAAAGTAAGATACACAGCAGACTTCAAAGATTTAGCATGAACAAAAAGTATAACATTTTATATTGATTACAGGTTGAAATAATAAAGTTGGCGGTATATTGAGGTAAATGAAACATTAACATTAGTTTTGTCTGTTTCTATTTTTCCCTTTTTAACATGACTACAAGAACATTTAAAATTACATAGGTGGCTTGCAATAGATTTCTATTAGACAATGCTGTTTTCATGTGTTCAAAGAAGATTTGAGTTTAAGCCTCTTTCCAGTAGTACACTTGCTGCTTTAAGTAAGTACACCTGTATAGGAGAAACAGATTCATTGCAAAAGAAGGGCAGGGAGGAATGGAGATTTGCAAGTGGGGAAGCTGATTATAGAGGGTGAGGGGGTGCAGGGTTACAGGGGGTGGTCAGTTGCCAGAAGCAAGTGCTCTCTTTCCCCCATAGCTCCATCTGATCTCCTAGCTGGGGCTCTGCGAAGCGAGAGAGAGGCACTCTGAAACTGGTCTGCCTTTACCATCTTAGCCTTCAAGCTCTAAGTGGGACATGGTGGTGATGTAACGCACACTTTCCCTGTGCCCCTCTGGACCCCCATCCCTGGCCGAGAGAAGAAGGCATGCGGCGAGCCCCTTCTTCATAGCCAGCGCCATCTGGGAGAACTGTTGCCGCACCTCCTTCTGCCAACAGGCATAGATGAGCGGGTTGAGCAGGGAGTTGCCCACACCGAGCAGCCACAGGTACTGCTCCAGCACCAGGTAGAGGCGGCACTCCTGGCAGGCCGCCTGCACAATGCCTGTGACAAGGAATGGGGACCAGGACAGCGTGAAGCTCCCAATGAGAATGGCCACTGTGCGCACAGCCTTTAAGTCACTGGGGGTCCGTGGGGGCTGGTGAGCCCCGGCCAGGGCTCCCGCATGCTCCGTGTTGCGGATCTGCTGGCTGTGCGTGGACGCGATCTTGAGTATGTCACAGTAGAAAAAGACAAAGAGCAGCAGGGCTGGAAAGAAGCCAGCGCAGGAGACGGTCAGCACGAAGCGCGGGTGAAACACAGCGAAGAAGCTGCAGGACCCCCTGTAGGTGGTCTGCTGGAATCCGTGGATCCCGAGGGGAAGGAAGCCAATGAGGTTAGACACCAACCACAGCCCGGCAAGGCAGGTCCCGACCATGAACCCATTCATGATCTGGAAATAGCGGAGGGGCCACTTGATGGCAAGGTACCTGTCAAAGGCAATCAGCATGACCGTGAGGACAGAGGCGGCTGCAGAAGAAGTGACAAATGCCATCCGAAGGCTGCACAGCGTCTTCTCCGTGGGCCGAGCCGGGCTGGAGAGCTGGTCTGTGACTAGGCCAGAGATGGCCAGGCCAAGGAAGGCATCAGCCACAGCCAGATTCAAGGTGAAACAGAGACTGATGCTATCATTCTTGAAGATCAACGACAGTACCGCTATGGCCACGAGGGCATTAGCAGCAATAATGAGGGAGGCCAGGACAGCAAGGATCACTCCAAATGAGACAGGTGATTCCATATCTTGAAGTGGCAGGATTTCCACTTACCAGGGGATACTGGCCCTCCAGCTCAAATTCTCACAGGCTGGGTGAGACGGAGCTGTGTGTTCAGAGTTGGCAGTCCAGGCTGGCAGCTGGCTGTCTTCAGGATCCTGCTGGTTATGGAGAATCACTCCTTCTCTGGTTTTCAGTCCTCAGCCTCTTGCCTCTCCAGTGATCTGAAGGCAGCAACCCCAGTGCAGATGTATCCCTCGGCCCTGAGCTAGTCCCTCCTCCAACAACCAAGTTACTAGACAACTCCCAAGTACCTGCCTCCTGTTGTCTCGCCAGGCTCTCTCCCCTCACTAATGTTTCAAGGACTTTGTTTGGACAGACCAGGGCATTCATCAGGTCTCCTGTCGTGCAGAAGATATAATTGACTCTAATCACACGTTTTTCTCTCTATAACTTGATTTTAAATGTCCACTTCTTTTCTTCCTAAGCCTCAAATACTAGCTTGACAAATAATCTCAGCTGAATTAAGCATTTTCTGGGATAATGAATTCTCAGTTACTATTATGACTGCTTTTATTTTATTTTTTTGTTTTTTATCCCTTTTATTTTATATATTTTTTCCATTTATTTTTATTAGTTGGAGGCTAATTACTTTACAATATTGTAGTGGGTTTTGTCATACATTGACATGAATCAGCCATGGATTTACATGTGTTCCCCATCCCGATCCCCCCTCCCACCTCCCTCTCTGCCCATTTTATATTCTTTTTTATTTGTGAGCACTCTTTATGTATAAAATATATTAATTCTTTATAATGTTTCATAGTAATCTTTAATTTTACATGGTGTCCATAGAAAAGTCATTTCTTTCCCTATGTCCTCCATGTTTTTGGTTACATTTATTTCTGGAAATTTTATTTTGATCTCTTTCTAATGCGTTTTTGGTGTAAGAGAACTTAGAAGATTTGTCTCGGTGGGGAATTTCTATGTACTCTCTGAATTTAAATCAATTAGCATATCCAAAATAGTGNCTTACCTCACTCTGTATAATGGGCTCCAGTTCCATCCATCCAATTAGAACTGATTCAAATGAATTCTTTTTAATGGCTGAGTAATATGACTGCTTTTAATTGAGCACAATGACCATAATCCATTGAAGTGGGAAGTGGGGCAGGCAAGCTATTTTAGGTCCAGCATACTTTCAGGAGAGTTATACACATGTTGGCGTTTTCTTATCTTTCATTTCCCAACACCTCAGATTCTAATTCTTTCAAATAGGGTGTGCTGGTCCCCTATTTCTCATCCCTCAAAGCTTGATTAGTTGAGGATTCAGAAAGGCTGGAGAAGCAAAAGAGAATTGTTACTAGCTGTCATTCAGTTTAGAAGAGAGCCCATTCCCTATTGAAACCTGCTGTCTGTTGGGTATACTCATTGAGAAAATTTCTGCCATATGTTGGACCCTGTCTCTGGTCAAGAGTTGTGGCTGCCAGCCTTGTACTTTCTTCTTTTTGGCTGTGCCAAGTGGTATGTGGGATCTTAAGTTCCCTGACTAGGGATTGAACCTGTGCCCCCTTCAGTGGAAGTGTGGAGTCCTAACCACCAGACTGCCAGGAAAGTGCCTGCCTTGTACTTTCTTGGTCCTGTGACCTTGCCTTTCTTTTTAAAGAATTTTATTTTATTCAAGTATAGTTGATTTACAATGTTAATTTCTGCTGTACAGCATATATATATATACACACACACACACATACACACACACATTCTTTGTTCGTTTCCATTATGGTTTATCATAGGATATTAAATATAGTTCCCTGTGCTATACAGTAGGACCTTGTTGTTTACCATCCTACATATAATAGTTTGCACTTACTAATCCCAAACTCTCAATCCCTCCCTCCTCCTCCCCCCTCCCTGTTAGCAACCACAAGTATGTTTTCTGTGTTTGTGAGTCTGTTTCTGTTTCATAGATAGGTTCATTTGTGGCATATTTTAGATTCCACATATAAGTGATATCATATGATATTTGTGTGTCTCTTTCTGACTTACTTCACTTGGTATGATAATCTTTAGGTCCATTCATATTGCTGCAAATGGCACAATTTCATTCCTTTTTATGGGTGAATAATATTCCATTGCCTATATATGCCACATCTTCTTTATCCATTCATCTGCTGAAGGGAATTTAGGTTATTTCCATGTCTTGGCTATTGTAAATAATGTTGCAATGAACATTGGGGTCCATGTATCTTTTTGAATTATAGTTTTCTTCAAATATATACCCAGAAGTGGGATTGCAGGATCATATTGGCCTTGTTTTTCTTGATCCTATTGACTTGAGGTATCTCTGGAACAGGAGAAGGCGAGGTGAGCTGTACTCTGGTAAGTGTTCTAATGTTTGGTTGTGGAATTTTCCATTTTCCAGCAACAGAGTTAGACCAAAGGACAGCAGTGTTGCTGAGGCAGGTGAGATGGGCCCAGGGAGGGTGGCTGTGTAGCTCATTCTTATTTTAGATTGTATATCCATTTGCTCAGGTACATTAGAACTAACCTTTTGCATGCTACTCTCATCTTGGATACCAAGAAGAGAGTGGTGGGGAGAAGAGTGATTAGAAGCTTATTTACTCAATTCGGGTCAGAGCACAAATGGGAAAGGTTAGTGTTTTAAGTGAGAGCGTGGAGAGCAGGGTGCAGAGTTGGAAGCAAATATTATATTCCAGGATGTTTTGACAGTCTGAGAGGGCCTTTGGCAGATGTCTCTCTTATAAGGATCAGAAAGCCAGTGGAGTGGTATTCCGGTTGCCAACCTGAACAGTTCTTATTTTTTGGTACATCCATTAGGAGGCTGGTTTCAGTCGCTTAGCACCTGGTCTAATTTTAAACCTGGATCTAAGGCACGCTTTTGTTTCCCCAGCCCCTTGACTCTATGTGTGGAGTCAAGATGGCTGTTTCAAGGCCATGCTAAAATTCAAGAGTGCATCAGAGTCCCCCAGAGGGCTGGTTAACACCCAGATTCTTTTTTTTTTAACACCCAGATTCTTGAGGCTCGCTGTCAGAGTTTTGGATTCATTAGTTCTGAGGTATTCCCAAGAATCTGCATTTCTAATAAGCTCCCAGGTGATGCTTATGCTTATGCGCCTCTAGTGAAATGCTCCAGGGAAATGGTTCTTAACTTTCACTGTGCAGTGGAAACACTTGTTGATTCCAAAAGTACAGACATTTGGGTCACACACCAAGGGATTCTTATGGCCTTAGTCTGAGATGCGACCTCTGCATCTGGAATTTTAAAAGATCCACAAGTGATTCTAATATGCAGCCAGGGGTGGGAACTGCTGTCCAATGGCAAAAGCACAGGCTCTGAATTCAGGCCACCTGGGGCCACCCCTACATTAATTCCTGTGCTTTTGTGTGGACAAATGACTTCACTTCTCTGACTTAGCTTTGACTTCCTCATGTGTGACATGGGGACAGTAATACCTACATCTCAGTGTTGTGGGGATGATGAAAATGAGATTATGATGGATATGAAAAGGCTTTTTAAAAGATGTAAAGTAATTAGCCTCCAACTAATAAAAATAAATGGAAAAAAAAAGATTGTATTTATTTATGGCTGCAATGGGTCTTTGTTGCTCCATGAGGGCTTTCTCTAGTTGGGATGAACAGGGGGCTACTGTTCATTGCGGTGTGCAGGCTTCTCATTGCAGTGGCTTCTCTTGTTGTGGAACATAGGCTCTAGGGCATGTGAGATTCAGCAGTTGTGACACATGGCCTTAATTGCCCTGCTGCATGTGGGATCTTCCTGGAGCAAGGATCGAACCTATATCTCCTGCATTAGCAGGCGGATTCTTAACCACTGGACCACAAGGGAAGTCCATGAAAAGGCTTTAGTTGAGTATACCTTCTTATTGAGGAGAAGGAAAATGACATGAATATCCATCCAATGTTGATAAATACAATGAATGAAAAGGGCTTCCCTGGTGGCTCAGATGGTAAAGAATCCTCCTGCAATGTGGGACACCTGGGTTCGATCACAATGTGGGAGACCTGAGTTCCATCCCTGGGTTGGGAATATCTCCTGGAGGAGGGTGTGGCAACCCACTCCAGTAGTCTTTCTTGGAGAATCCCCATGAACAGAGGAGCCTGGCGGGCCATGGGGTCACAAAGAGTCAGACATGACTGAGCAACTAAGCATAGCACATGGAGGAAAAATAAAGCAGCTAATTGTGTCCAACTCTTTGTGACTCCATGGACTATTGCCTGCCAGCCTCCTCTGTCCATGGCATTCTCCAGGCAAGAATACTGGAGTGGGTTGCCATTTCCTACTCAAGGGAATATTCCCCACTCAGGGATCTAACCCGGGTGTCCTGCATTACAGGCAGATTCTTTACTGTTTGACCCACTAGGGAAGCCTTGTCTTCTAGCGTCTTGTGCACCAAAGGGTGAACCAGATCAGCAACATTGGTATGACCTGACAACTTTGTAAAAATGCAAATCTTTTGCCTTTGGTAGTTCTTCTGCTGGTTCCTCTGCTTGAGATGCTCTTGCCCATTCCCTATCTTCCATCTACAAGGTGACTACCTTCAAGGTCCAGTTCAACTGTTATCTGCCTTTCTGTAGTACACAACAATCTGCTTTCCATCCCCACTTCTGACCCCAAGCAGTCAGAATGAATTGATGCCTTATCTAGTTCCAATAGCACTTCACTCGTGTCTTCACTGCAACATTCATCCTTTTGTATATTTATTCACATATGTAACTGTCTGGAAACACTGTGAGCTGGAATCATGTAGTTTTGTTCACTGTAGTATCCCCAGCATCTAGACCAGCACCTGAACACCAGTACCTGAACACTAACAAACACAGGATATGACTTTATGTTGGTGTTAGACGTGTTATTATTTTTTTTTAGCATAAAAAGATACCAGCATAGAATATCACCCCCTTTGCTATCACCCTGAGGCAAACTACCATCATCTCTTGCCTGAATTATTGTGGAGCTTCGCAACTGGTCTTACTGCTTCTATCCCAGGCATTTCCATGCACCCTCCACACCCCTGACTTCCCCACCCCTGACCACCTCCAGTCTGCGGCCAAGGTGATCCTGCTAAAATGTAAGTCAGACTAACATCCTTTAGTGGCTTCTCACCTCACATTGAGTAAAATCCAAAGTTGCCACCCAATATGTTCACGCCCGATCTCCTCCCCTGACCCCGTTTATCCTGTGACCCTCATTTATCCCCTTTAGAGGCTAAAGATACAGACTTTGGAGCCACACTATCCTGTGGCTTCCCATTTATCAGTTATGTGACCTAGGGCAAGTGACATAACCTTTCTGTGCCTCAGTTTCTGCATCAGCAAAATGGGGACAATAGTATCTCCTTCATAGGATTGCTGTGAGAAGTAGATGAATTAATATGTGTAAAGTACCTAGAAAAGTGTCTAGTATGTGGTGGGTACTAAATCAGATTTTATTAAATGAACAAAAATCTGTCATTCTTTCCCTTGCCTGCTCCTCTCCAGCCAGTCTGGCATGCTTGTTGTTTCTAAAACACACTCCCATCTCAGGACCTTTGCACGTACTGTTCCTGCTGCCTGCAACACTCTTCTCCCAGAAATCTCCAAGTGTTGCTCCTCATCTTCTTGTAGATCTCTGCCTTCATGTCACTTTACTGGGGAAGGGGCTTCTTTGACTGACACCACTTATAAAATAGCAACACTCTCCAGCTCTCTGTCACCAATGCTGCTTTATTTTTCCTTCATAGTATTTATCAAGATTGGATGTATATTCATGTAATTTTCCTTCTCCTCAATAAGAGTGTAAACTCCATAAAGACAGGAATTCTACTTCTCTTGTTTGCTGTTATATCTCCAGCACTTATACCAGTGTCTAGCATATAATAGTTGCTCAATAAATATTTGTTGAATGGCTGAATAAAAGACAAAAGCAAGAAAATTAAGGTCATGCTCTTTCTGCCAAGGTAACATGGCAATAAAAATGTGATAAAGAAAAGATATCTGGATAAAAGTAAGAAAATGATAACAGTGTAGAAAGGGACAAAGGGAAATAAAAGCCTCTTTCCCTTTACCCTCATCTGTTTTCATAAATGTAACCATAGCTGTATTTTCAGTTTCATTAACCAATAATTGTATTGTGTACTTACTATGTGTTTGAGGTTTGAGGTACTGAGAGCTTAAAGATGCAGTCTTTACCTTCCAGGACCTCACAGTCTTTCTGGGGAGTGAACATAAAAGAGCTGCGAAGAACTGCAGAGTTCAGAAGCGGGAGCCATCACTGCAGGCTGGTAAGGTCAGGAAAAGTTTCCTGAACGAGAAATGCCTTGACTGGAGTTTGGAGCTCGGGCAGGTTTCAGTCAGAGTGAGGTGAGTGGCCCAGGGATATATGGATCTCTCAGAAGAGGTATCTAGGTTGGATAATGAAAGGGGCCCTTGAGATAACAGATAGAAGTGGAGCCTGGCTGAAACTGAGGCTTCATGGGGCGGGGGAGCAGTTGGAGAAAAGACTGAAGATTAGGGGCTGGGCAGTTATAAGAGTACTGAAAGAGCTAGGAGGCATGTAATGATGACTCAGAACATCACTGAGAGTAGACAGGATGTGTTTGACAGACACTGAAGTGGTGCAATTATTAGGAATTGGTGATTGGATAGATATCTTTGGGTGAATAGGTATAGGGAATACAAGCATGACATCCCTGTTTTTGAACATGGGCAACCAGGAAAATGGTGATAACATTCCCTGAAACAGAGAAGTCAGGAGGGAAAGTGTTTGCGGGTGTAGTGTGGTGGTCAGAAGTGGAGAGATGAATTTGACTAGCCATATTGTTGAGCCTTTCCTTGAACATGGGGACTACCGTCAATTTCCTTAGCATTACCCACTGAACCTAGAAATGAGCTCTGCATACAATGGGTGCTAAATGAATGTTATTGGTGAAGAAAAGAGTAGAAGCTGGGAGAGCTGAAAACCTTCCCAGTTTGCCTAGGATATCTCCATGGATGTACTTCCAATTGGTAGGTAAGATGATGCCTAGAGATTTCCATAAGTCTGAGTGGAAAGGGGAGGAGAATCCAGAGGACCCTCTGAATTTAATGTCTGAGAGGAGGACCAGAGTTTGCCAGCCCATGTGTCTATTATTTGGTTGGTCTTACTTTTCTCTTTTGCTTCAGCTTCCTTCTGAACTCTGATGACCAAGGCCTAGGTATTGCTCCAATTCTCTCATTTCACAGTTGCTGGAAGAATTCAGCCAGATAATGCTGCAAGCTAGTTTACCACTTTGCAGTGATTACTTCAACCTACAACTAGGCAACCTAAGGTTTCCAGGAGCAGATAAAACCCCTATGCAATCTGTCACTGTTTAGTTTTCATTGCCAATGTTAATTCTACCAAGTTAATGAATAGCTGGGTTGGAGTGGGGGAAGGGAAGAGACACAGAATGAATGAAGAGAAACTGTCATTTATGGGCAGATTCTGTTCTGCTTCGTAGCAAGACATTGGGTACATGGTGAACCATTGAGGGTACAGTTGTCATCATCACCGTCATCATCAAAATACTTTTATGAAGTGGCTAGTTTCAGGGATTCTGAGCTAGGCCTACACAGAGAACTACACAGCTCTGGAATTTCACTTTTAGACCATACATGGTCTAAGACCAGATACTGATGTGGACAAGTGCAAGATGGATTTAAATCTTCAATATGGTTTATTTACACATTATATGTCACCACCTCTTCTACAGGTTCCTGATTATTTCTGGAGTGAAATCTATCAAGCAGGTATATCCTGTATGCTCAATGATATTATCAGCTCTTTGAAGGCAAAGAATCCAACCTTACAATTCTGTCTACAGACTTGCTGTACAGAACATATACAGATGCTCAGTATGGATTCATAAATCAACCAGACCTGATGGGTAGACAGAGTACCTTTCAAACCATTAATATTTAACTCCTTTGAACCTCAGTTTCTTCTATAAAATGGAGAGAATAATTGTATCACAGACATCACAGGGCTGTTGTGAGGATAGAAAGCCAATGCATATAAATTGATTAGCACACAATTTAGTATTGTCTGCTCAACTGTTAGCTATTAATTTAACAATACGAATTTCTACCTCCCGTAGGAGACTGTGGAAAAGGGGTAGCAGTTTTTCACACAAATCTGGGTATTCAATTCAGCCTACAGAGGTGTACTTGTCAGTTGCCTATGCATTGGGATTTGAGAGGGAAAAAAAAAAAATTTACCCTCTCAAATATCTTCTTTACTTTTCTGCCGTCACTCTTGAACAAGGATGCTTTGCTGGGGGTGCGCGTGTGAGTTACTGACTGGGAGTGAAGGATGGAGGCGGAATTTGACTAGGAGCGAAGGCTAGGATTCAAGTCGCCGTATCAGGCACTTTTTCAGTCTTAATTCAGCAAACATTTGTAGCTAACCTAATCAATGCCAGGTGTCGTCCAGGAGCTAGGAGTCCTGGAATAGACCAGGCTCGCACCCTTGCCCAATTTTACGGAGGAACGTACTAACGGACCAGAGAAAAACTCCGATTAAACAGCGAGTTCCACCGGACAAGGAAAGCCGCTTCCGGCTCTAGTGCTCAGGCGTTACGCCCCCGGCGCGCCAGCGCTCTTCCGGCGCGGCGCGAGCTTTGCGGCAGCCAATGGGCGCGAGGCGCCGTGACCGCGCATGCGTCTTGCGGCTTCTCCCGGAAGTCGCTTTCTAGGTTTTGAGGCCGAACCCGCGGAGATGAAGTAAGGCCTCCTCTGCCCTCTGAGCAGGGGTCGGGGGAACTGGTGCCCGGGGGCAGCCCACCGGGGCTGAGGTGGTAGAGCATCTGCGGGGCTGACGGGCGGGAGAGGCGGGGAGTCTAGAAAATTAGTCTCTCGGTTTTATCTCAGGCCGGGGCGCGCTTAAATGTCCGCTTTTCCTTCGGTTTACAGCCCTTTAACTAAAGTGAAGCTGATTAATGAGCTGAATGAGCGTGAGGTCCAACTGGGGGTGGCGGAGAAGGTGTCTTGGCACTCCGAATACAAGGACAGCGCTTGGATCTTCCTGGGTGAGGCCCACGTTTTCTTCCCTTCAGCGTTCTCGCCTTTCATTCCTCCCGATATTCACCACCCACATTTATTCCCTTCCGCGGTCCCCCTGGGTTTTCCTTGTCTGTTTTCTCCCCATTTCTAGTTTGCTGTCTCTGCCAAGTCAGTGCTCATAATAGGTACTGCCGGCCGTTCACTGTGCTGAGAATCGTGCCATTTGGTTTCTCAGAGACCGTTATTATCATCCCCCTGCCCCCCCCCCCCGCCCCATTTATACAGCTAAAGAAACAGGTGCAGAGAAGCTAATGACTTCAGGTCACATAGCTTAGGAAGTGGAACAGCCAAAACTATGGGACTCTAGAACTCATGGTCTTAGCCCCTATCTCATATTACTGCCAACTCCCTCCCCTCCTCGTTTTCCTTCCCTCAGAATTTATTTTCCTCATCTAATTATCTCCTGCCTTCTATCCGTGGCCGTATCACCATCACTATATTCACTTTGTGTCATATGCGGTAATTTGACAATTTATTCAAAGAGGTTATTGCACCAGACATTGTTCTAAGCATTTTGTTTCCATTTATTTAACTAATATAACAATTCTGTGACGTTAGAACTGTAATATCGTCATTCTATTGATGAGGAAGGAAACATTTGCAGGGAAATTTATTTCCTATGAAATGCTTAGCAATTGACTTTATAATCCTTAGTCTTTGTGAGGTGGGGTTAATATTTGCATATTTAAACTGATTTTGGACCTTAGCTGTGAATTTGCAGATAGACAGCACATGAGCTCAAGATATGTTTTTGGAAGCCAAGTTTTGTGCTGGAAACTATCTGCTTTGTCCAGAAGATTTTGGGTGTGAGGGGGGTTAGTTTGGTTAGGGGTGACCCCAGCTTTTCCACTCAAAGTTAATCACTCCTTTTTATGTATTACTGCTGCATCTTCTATGTGCTTCTGTCATTGCATTAGACTAGATTCTTTGAGGGAAGGCCCTGTTGTTTATTCTTATTTACGTCCCAGTGCCTAGCCTAGTGCATGCATGGTACATAGTAGACACTTGGTAAGTGTCTGCTGAACTGAAATGTGTTTTTCTTTTTGAGGGGGGCTTCCTTATGAACTGACTGAAGGGGACATCATCTGTGTGTTCTCACAGTAAGTTACCTTTTTTCCTTCTTTTTAGTAAGTCACTTTTTATTTCTTACCTTCTGGGTCTCAGAATAGTTTGCTTCCGTAATGCATTTTATGGCATCACAAAAGCCCATTTATTTTAACTCTAGACTGACTGGCCTCCCTGCATGGGGAGGCCTGGAGCTTCTGTTCTAGTCTAGATCAGTCCCAGGACTGGAACTCTCCAATGTGCCAAATCCAAGAAGTTGGTTGATATAGGAGCCTGTCTTGGAGATTCTGGTCTATTTTTATTGCCTTTTCACTGAGGCCTCCATTGGAACACACTGGAACTCCTAGGGAGGTACTCTATTGGCCTGTCTCCTTGGGCTCTTATAAAATAGTGGTAACTCATGATCATGGGGCCATTCTGGGCCCACACCTATGTGGCACTGTAGGATTAGGACAAAGCACAGAGGAACTGGGAAAAAAGCAAAAGGTTTAGGCAGTAGTTTTTTCATTGTTGTTGTTTGTTTCTAGTTGAGTGTAAGGTTAGTGAGCAGAGCCAGTCTCTTTAACTGGAGACTAAGAATCACAGGCTGATGAGGGATAAAAATAAATAGGAGAACCTTATATTCTTCATTCTGCTACGGGGTGATAGCAGCAGCACTCGGTGGGAGAGAGGCTTGGCAGCTCACACTAGTAGTGGCAGCCGGTAGGAGAGGGGTTGGGTACAACCCCAAAGCTACACAGAGTAGTTAGTCCATAGATGCCAGAAGGCCTTGGCAGCTCCCAGCAGCAGAGAGCCATGACCCCTGGGCTGTGGAGTCCTCAGGCAGAGGACCATGATAAAAGACGTTGGGCAAGCAGACAGTGGCTGGCACACCCTGGCAGAGGCATTGCCATGGCGGGGAATGGTTGGACTTGGTTGGGCCATATATAGGACAGAAGGCCGTGGGAAAGGAACTGGGCAAGAAAAAGGCCATGGTAGAGGGCCCTGGCAGGGCCTGAGGCTGCTTCTTCCAACTCTTGGGTATTGGGAAGTTCACAGTAGGTGCAGCCTATAACTTCCACCCCTTTGTGGTAGCTCTGCCTAGTCCAGTCTTCCACCTGGGAGCTGTTTTTGTCTTATTTGCATTGAGTGATGATCACTAGTGTGTGTGTTTATTCCAGTTCTCTGTTTTGGCTCCACACATTGCTGTCCATGAAGATTACCTGTGTCACTGATAACAGTTGCTTTCAAAAAATATTTTGTTTTCTGATTATCAGAGTAATGTATAGTTGTTGTAGAACATTTGGGAAAAAAAAAGTATGAAGAATAAAGTAAGAATGTACTTTAAGGAAAAAATGTTAATATCTTTGTGTATTTATTGTCTTCTTTTCAGTGTTGGGCATTATTTCCAGTATTTTGCTGTTATGAATTATACTGCAGTGTACATTGTGATATATACATCTTTGTATGCCTCCCTGATGGTTTCCTTCATGAAATTAATTTATAAACATTGTCAAGTTACTCTCTGAAAAGGTTGTATCAGTTTTCACTCTGACTGGAATGCTCATTTTCCTGAATCCTAATCAGTAATGGTTATTTTAAGAAAATATTGCCATATGACTTTTCATTATTATTTTACTTTGCCTTTATTTCATCATCAGGGAGGTTGAACATCTCTTCGTAGATTTATAGGCCCTTATTCTTTTTCTTTGTAAATTGTCTACTAAGATCATTTGCCTATTTTTTCCCTGTTAGTGTGTTCCTCATTTTCTTACTGATTTTACAAGAGCCCTTTATGTATTAAGGATGTTAACTTATTGTTTTTAAGTTTATTGTGTATTGTATTGTTGTGGACTTATTTTTTTAATTTGATGTGTTATACTACATTGCCATTATTATTATTTCTTGATGCTCAAACTGTCCAAGTTTGGTCTGTACTTATCCTGTCAAGCCAGCTCCTGTATTCTTTTGCTTTTTATTTTGAAATACTTGAAATAATTTCTCAGTTAAAACAGGAAAGTTATGAAATAGAATAAAGAATACCTATATCCCCTTTACTCAGAGTCCCCAGATGTTAGCATTTTATCACATTTGCTTTGTTATTTCTTTCCACCTACATGCATATTATTTTTTTTCTGAACCATTTGGGGATCAATTGCAGACATGATGCACATTTACCCCTAAATTCTTTTTTTTTTACCCTTAAATTCTTCAGTGTGTATTTCCCAAAATACCGGGACATTTAACTTCAGGATAGTGATCACACTGTTACACTGTTATCTAATCTATAGACTTTATTTGACTTTCAGTTGTCCTGATTATGTCCTTTATAGCAAAAGGAAAAAAAATGGCTTTCTAGCCTTAGTCTGTGATGTAAATTGCAGACGTTTTCTCCTAGTTTGCCATTTGACTTTGCTTATTGCGATGTTTTTCTTTGCAAAATTATTATTTTTAAATTTTTATGCATTCATCTATTCATATGTTTAAATGATCTTATGGTAACATTGAATTTTTAGGGGATGTACAGTCCTATGAATTTTTTTTAATACTTGAATAGATTTGTGTAATCACCCTCACAATTAGGATGAAGGACCATCATCCCCCAAACTCCCTCATGCTGTCCCGGTATAGTCGGTCCTCTAAGTATTTCGTGTGGTCAAATTTATCAGTCTTTTATTGCTTCTGGATTTGAGTCATAATTAGAAAGTATTTCTTCCCACCCATCTGTGTTCTCTTCTAATACTTGTATGGTTTCAATTTTATGCACTGAAGTCTCTGATCCATTTAGAGTTATTCTGATGTGTAGTATGAGATATGGACCCAATTTCATATTTTTTCAAATGGCTATCTAGTTGTCCCAACAGCATTTATTTAAAACTCCATATTTTCTCCCAGCAAGTTGGAGTGTCACCCTTATACAGAAGTATTAACTTGGGAGGTTATTTTGATGTCTTTATAATGTTGAGTCATCTTATGCACGAAAAAGAGATGTCTTTATATTTATTGAAAACTGTGTTTGTGTCTTTCAGTAGTTTTTAAGAGTTTTCTTTGCATAGACCTTGTACATTGCTTGTTGTTAAATTTATCTCTAAGTATTTTATCTTTTTGTTGTTGCTGTTACAAATGGGGCTTCTCTTTCCTTATATCTTAAGATTATTATTTGTAAGAGAGTGGTTTATTTTTGTTAACTTTATATCCTGTTATCCTACAGATTTGTTATATTGTTTGTTTTTATCATTGTTTATCATTGCTTCTCTTGGGTTTTCTATATATATCATCATATATAATCTTCATACAGAGATAGCTTTACTTTTTCACGTTTTAATTAATTTTTAAAATTATAGTTGATTTACAGTGTTGTATTAGTTTCTGCTGTGCAGCCAAATGAGTCAGTTATACATACACAAATATTTACCCTTTTTTTATATCTGTTGTCTCCTGTCTAATTGCATGGGCCAATACCTACAATATTAAATAGTGTTAAATAGTTGAATACCATAGTTGAATCATTTCTAGTGTTTTCTTTTAAGTAAGATGCTAGATTTTGGGCTGAGGTATATGTATGTGATCATGTTATAACATTTCCGTCAGTTACTATTGTATTTTTATGACTGTAGTTTTACATTTATGAAGCTTTAACTTTTCTGGAATTTATATAATGAGTAAGGTAGAATTTTTTCTATTTTCTTTTTAATTAAATTATGTCTTTATTAACTTCCACCTACCTTCCTTAGATTTACTCTCTCCCACTCCCCAGTGGCTTATGGGATCTTAGTTCCCTGACCAGGGTTTGAACCTGGACCCTGACAGTGAAAGCACCAAGTCCTGACCACTGTGACTGCCAGGGAATTCCCCTTTCCTTTTTGACAATAAAATTCTTTAATGTTACAGATTTTCCTGAGTGTGGTTTTAGCCACATCCTGTAAGTTTTGGTGGGCTTCCCTAGTAGCTCAGATGGTAAAGCATCTGCCTGCAGTGCAGGAGATCTGGGTTCGATCCCTGGTTCAGGAAGATCCCCTGGAGAAGGAAACAGTAACCCACTCCAGTATTCTTGCCTGGAGAATTCCATGGACAGAGGAGCCTGGCGGGCTATAGTGCATGGGGTCACAAAGAGTCGGACAAGACTGAGCGACTAACACACATAGTCACTAAGTTTTGGTATATATTCCCATTTTTGTTGTTTTCTAAATAGTCTACCATGATTTCTTTATTTTATTTCACTTTCTCATTCATCTAGTAGTTAGCCTGGAGAATAGGTTTCAAGTTCTAGTTAGGGCATTTTTTGTTTTGAAATTGTTGTTCCCAGCTGTTTCACATTATGATTGGAGAACATGGTCTGTGCTGTTTTTGGAGATTATTGGGGTTTACTTTGAGATCTAGTCTACAGTCAGTTTTAATATGTGTTTCATGGATTCTTGAAAAGAAACTCTTATTGTACAATCGAGTATATCTGTATATCTACTAGTCTGATGTTAATATTTTTAACAATGTAATTGTTATATTATTAAGTATATATTTATTTGTAGTTATATAAATTTACATTAATTCCTCTGACTTATTTTTCTCACTTTTATGGCTCAAAGTGGTGTATTAAAATCTCTCATAACTTTCACTCTTAGTTGCTCTTTGTATTTTTAATTAAAATTTTGAATGTGTTAACTTATGTATAAAATTTCATGACTTATGTGTTAGGACCTTGTTCTGAGTAAAAGAGCCCTCTTAGTCACATTTAAATGTTTTTTTTGGTTGGCCTTGAGTTCATCTTTGATCTTAATACTACCACCCATTTTTTAAATTAGGTGTTCTTGATATATCTTTTTCTAACTTTTAATTTTTAACCTTTCTTTGTCATCTTGTTCTCAGTGTGTCTCCTGTACAGATTATATTATTTGAATTTTGTTTTGTCATCTGATCTGAAAGTTTTTACATTTTAAATCAATAGTGTTTTACTCTTTTATAAATTAAATAGATACGGGGAGATTGTTAACATTAATCTGGTACGGGACAAGAAGACTGGGAAATCCAAAGGATTCTGTTTCCTCTGCTATGAAGACCAGAGGAGCACAATTCTGGCTGTTGACAATTTTAATGGGATCAAGGTGAGTATGCTTACTGAGCAGAACTTTTCTATTGTGTAGGGTTTCAGTTTCATTTCCCAGCTGATGACTACAGGTTCAAGGGCAATACTGGTCAGCTGGGTTGCAGAGGTGTGGGGACATACTGACCGGGAAATGACCCCAGGAAATAATTCCATTGGCTCATGACCCTGTCAGCACGCATTCCTTTTCCCCATCTCTTAGCAAGCTATGTCCTCAGGAGCATAGGTACTGTGACGCCCCCACTCCCCTTCATCTTGCACCCAACCAGGCATCTGTCTCTCACCTTTTCCTCCTCACAGTTCACTCTCATTTCTGCTATATTGGAGAGCAAACACTGCTATTTCATGCTGTCCTGTATCAGGGAATTTGGGGTTCTATCATGGTTTCGTGGCTGAGGACATAGCCATGTATGTTATTGACTTAGCAGTACTGGGCCCTGAAAATTCTCTAGTTAAAATCTGATGACAAATTCTATGAAAGTAACTCATTCTGAAGTTTTCTGTCCTCTATTCTCTCTCCTCCACCCTTGTAAGTGAGACAGGGTGAGTGATGACATGAGAGAGACATGAGAAGGGGATGGGGCAAGTCAGGGTTATCTATGTTCCACATGCTCCCTGTGCTCATTTAGGAAAAGCACTGCCATTGAATGAGCATTGTCACAGGTTGAAGGGGTGACTCTTGACTTGGAGAATTTGTCACTGATTGCACCAGCAGTGAAAGGAAGTCACCATAAAAGGTGACTTTATTCTACCTTTTATGGTGGAATGGGATAGGTGAAAGTACTCAGGCTTAGGGGTAAGAGTAAAAACTTGCTCTTGAATGGAACAGTAAAAGCCAGACATTTCAAATTTCTGATGGCATTGCCTGTAGAATAAGTCTGGATCTGCCTGAATGTTTTTGTTTTCAGTGAGGGTTTTATTTTTTGTTGTTCACCTGGAGAGTTGTGATTCACAGTGACAGTATCAGCATGAGCCAGTGGTTCCAGTATGGTGGAGGTGGAGCAACGAGTGAGGGCTTAAGAGAAAAGAAAGTAGTCCTTTCTAGATTCCTTACCCCCTCCCAGCTATTGTTCTGCTTTGGCCTCATCCAGTTGTGTTGAGAAAGCAGCTGTAGCATTGAGCTGAATTTTATGAATTCCCTTTAGCTTCCAGGCTTTTTCACAGTGTGTTTCACTGTAAATTAATGTTACAGATGGAAGGTAATTCATGTTTGTGCATCTAAACTCTTGCAGTTTTCCATGCTGCTTACGCTTTGGGGCAGTACTTCCCAGGCTCTTTTCACTTCATGGCACACTTATAACATGGAGATATTTATATAGAACTCTGGGATAAACTAACGAGGCTCCCAGGATCTCCAGCTGCCCCAGGCTCCACCTGACTGCCCCTAGGGCTAAGCGAATGTGTAGGGATGTGTGCTGTGACACATCAGTTGAGTAGGTCTGCTTTTGAGATTTTCTGAGAAACAGAATTAACAAGAAGGTAATGGGAATGGTTCAAACCATGGATTTCTGCAGCTGGGTTCAAATAGATAGAAGGCTGTGTTTGGTAGCAAGTAGTTAGCTATTTGCTAAAACATTGCCCGTCTGTCTTAGATCAAAGGGAGAACTATCCGAGTGGATCATGTATCTAACTATCGAGTTCCTAAGGACTCAGAAGACATGGATGAGGTGACCAGAGAGCTGCAGGAGAAGGGCTGTGGGGCTCATACTCCTCCACCAAGTTCATCTGAGGGCTCTGAAGATGAGAAACCCACCAAAAAACACAAAAAAGGTAAATGGTTAAGGCTTATGAGAAGATTCTGGGTAGGCTTAGTGTTTGCTCTTCTTAGCCTTCACCGAGAGTTGGTAGTCAGTTCTCAAGTGTGAAGGGGGCAGGTGTGGGGAACCTTACTTTAACTGGGAAAGAAGTATCAGCAGAAGACTAATGCTGTGGGCTAAATTCTGGCCACCAAAATGCACACACTGAAGTCCTAACCCTCTGGTACCTAACAATGTGACTGTTTGGGTAGGGTCTTTAGAGAGAGAATTAAAAACTGGAGTTGCCTTATACAGCAACCTGACATATTAAGGGTGACAGACATCCAGCTTGGATTCTTGGAGGCACTTTTCTAGAAATAGAGACCGTGAGTGTTTCACACTGCTGCCAAACATGCTTTCCTTTTGTATGTCCTTCATCTTTTCCATCTTCTTTTTCTTACTGATTGTGCCCCTCTTTTCCTCCAGACAAAAAGGAAAAAAAGAAAAAAAAGAAAGACAAAGAGAAGACTGGCCGGGAGGTACAGGCAGAGCAGCCAGCCTCCTCTTCATTGCCCAGAAGCAAGATGATAAAGGAAAAGGATGACCCTGGCTCTAAAAAGCACAGTGGCAAGCACTCAGAGAAGGCAGAGAAGGGTCAGAAGTCAGAGTCCAGGGAGGTGCAGAAGTCCCACCCCAGTTCGCCTGAGATCAGGACTGCCTGCCGTGGTGGAACAGAGGACCGAGAGAGGGAGCCAAGGAAGGAGAAGTCCAAGCACGAACATAAGTCATCAAGCAGGAGGGAAGAGAGAGAAGACAGGCACAGGGAGAGAGACAGAGGTCGAAGCTCAGACGTGCATTCCAGGTGGCATGACAGGCGCTCCGAGGGGCGTAGTCACAGGAGTAGAAGTAGGAGCCGAGATAAATCCCACCGGCACAAAAGGTCCCGGCACTCCCGGGACCGGGAGTCCTCTAATCCCAGGGAGCGCAGGCATCACTGATGCCGCAGCCTGTTCAGCTATTCAGCACAGTAGAATTAAAAGTTAACTATTTTTCAAATACAATGAAATTCAGTTATTCTTTTACTATTTTTACATGTAAAGTCTCTGAGAATGAATTCTTTTGATCCCTTGAGTATAAGAATCATCAAGAGAGCTGTAGTTTTTAACAGCTAAATGTCCTGGATTTTTGAGCAGAATCCATTGTCCCTGGGAATATACTCGGTACTTTTGGTACTTGCCAAAGCATGTATCCTAAATCTGGGTTCATAAATATGGCCGTTGAATTCATGACCCCAATTTAGGATGAAATGGCCAGGAAGGGGAAATACCAGACAGTTCTAGAATTCCAGTCTCTGTGCTACATGTTAAGAACCTTTCCAGTTGGCAGCTATAACCACTGAGCAGAGAAGTGTGGCTTAACTAGGTTCAGACAGGTTGCTGTGAATGTGATAAGGATTCTTAACATCAGTCTGCTCCTTCCTTATTTTTGCCTACGTGCCCCCTGTTTTTTGAAATTGTAGACATCTTTTTTTAATTTTGCTGTTTTTGTTTTGGTTGATATGTCTACATTTTTTTCCTTATAACTTATTTATGTATTTATTTTATTGAGAAATTCACATGAAATTAACCATTTAAAAAATTTTATTTTTTAATTTAAGGATAATTGCTTTACAGAATTTCGTTTTCTGTCAAACATCAGCATGAATCAGCCATAGGTGTACATATGTCCCCTCCCTCTTGAACCTCCCATCTCCCTCCCCATCCCAACCCTCTAGGTTGGTACAGAGCCCCTGTTTGAGTTCCCTGAGACATAATAGTAAATTCCCATTGGCTATCTATTTTACATGAAAGTTTATTGAAAGTTTCCATGGTACTCTCCGTACATATCACCCTCTCCTCCCATCTCACCGTGTCCATAAGTCTGTTTTCTATATTTCTCCATGGCTGCCTTGCAAGTTCATCAGTACCATCTTTCTAGATTCTGTATATATGCGTTAGTATATGATATTTATCTTGAAATGAACCATTTTAAAGGGAACATTCAGTGCAATTTGGTACATTGACAGTGTTATAAAACCACCAACCCTATCTAGTTCCAAAATATTTTCATCACCCCAAAATGAAACCCTATTTACCCATTAAGCAGCTCCTCCCCATCCCCTCCTCCTCCTTGTCCCTGGCAACTACCAATCTGCTTTCAGTTCTGTAGATACCTATTCTGGACATTTCATGTAAGTGGAATCGTACATGTGGCCTTTTGTGTTTGGTGCCTTTCACTTAGTATAATATTTTTGAGGTGCATCCATATTGTATCAGTGAAAGTGTTACTCAGTCATGTCCAGCTCTTTGTGATCCCATGAACTGCAGCCTTCCAGGTTCTTCTGTCCATGGAATTCTCCAGGCAAGAATATTGGAGTGGGTAGCCATTCCCTTCTCCAGACACCTCATTTGTTTTTATGGATAACATCCCATTGTATGGATATTCCATGTTTTGTTTGCCACTCCTGAATGGATAGACATGTGGGTTTCTACCTTTTGGCTAGCCAGCTCCCTTTTCATGTTCCAGGTATACCAACCTGCCTCTGTGCTTAGTCTGCTTTTTGAGTAGCTCTTGGTGAGGTGGGAACACTTTGTCAGCTCCATTGCATATCTGGTCTGCTGGGTAGTTCTTTCTCATTTTGAGATTCCTTTTATTTATTTTATTCTATTTATTTATTTAATCAATCCTTTATGAGTTTGACAGGAACAGTCCACAAAACTTTAATACTTCTGCTGAATTATTGAAATGAAATTTCTGACACTGTGAAACAGAGGACTAGAGCTTTAATAGTGAATGTACCAAGTTAGATTAACTGGTATGTTTGTATGGGTCCTAGATGAGATGTGCAAGAAATTTGGTGGTTGGGATGTCCATGATGGAGAGTGGGGAGGGAGCTGGTGGAGATTGGGAAAGCTGTCAGACTATGATGTATGTCTAACTTCTGGAGTAGAAAGGGAGGGAAAGAAGGAAGTTACTTAGGAAAAGTCTTAGACAGCAATGGAATTATGAGAATATTTCAGCAAGACCAGTGGTGAGCCCTTGATCAAGAGTCACCTGTCAGAGGAGTCCCAGTTAGATGAGCCTTGGTAAACAGGCATCCTTGCTGCTGGACCTCTGTCAGTCATCGTGACCACTCTGCTCGTGTCCATCATGCCAGTTGTGTAGTAACTGATGAAGGCCCCTGCACCTGGCTGAGTCATTGTGTCTGCCTGGTAGTTCAGTGCCTTTTCCATAACAGATGTTTTCTGGTGGGTGTTAACATATGATACAGAAATCTTCACACTTTGCATGCTCCCATGTGTCAGTCCATGGCCTTTGCATCAGATTGCCTTGTCTCTGATCTTCCAACCCTTTTCCTTCCAGGCTTCCAATTGGATGGTCAAGCCATTGGCCACTTCCAGGAATCTTATGTATACAATACACAGTCTCACTTTGGGTCACTTTTTCCACACCAAGTCAAGTGCCCTGCTTGTTCCATCCACTGGAAAAGTATTCCTTCTCCCCCGTGAATGTATCTGCTGTTATATAGATACCACCTATCTTCATTTTGTACTTAGATATTGAGTGCTGGCCCATCTGTAAACTAGACTCAAGCTGTTTCCTCCTTCACCTTATCATACAGGAATCCCCATATGGCCATAGGTGCAGAGTTACCATAGAGCCTACCACTGTCTGCATCAGTCAGGTGTTCAACCGCAGCGCTGATCTGCATCTCCATGGAATATGTATGTATTTGATTTATGTATCAATTAGGGTTTTATCAGAGAAACAGGGTATACATATATGTATGTGTGTATATATCTACATATGCCATATATATCTTGCATCCAGTATTCAAATGTCTGGCTATTCTTGCCCCAGTGTACATACACCCAAATGAGTGGCTTTAGGTCCCTTTATTAGTGCTGGGAGAAGCATTACATGGCATTGTCCTTCCTTCTAGGGGCCCCGCTACCTCTTCTAGATCTGAGGAGGGACCGATGTCTGGAAATTGAGCAAGGAATTTGGACTTTTTATTGGGGAGAACCTCCCTTGGCCCCCTGTTTCTCCACTTTTGCCTTTTTCAGCTTGTAGATCTTGAGTGATAACCCTTGGTGGCTCTCTGTATTGCTTCTAGGGACACCATGGTCCATTTGTGCCATTTCCATGAGCCCATGTGGGTGAAGCCTGCTTGGCTGCCCTTCTGACCTTGAGGTTCACTTTAGTATTTGTGTCTTCCTGGCTTCTGGTGGATAAGCACTGCTCAGTTCAGTTCAGTTACTCATTCATGTCCGACTCTGCAACCCTGTGGACTGAGGCACACCAGGCTTCCCTGTCCATCACCAACTGGAGCTTGCTCAAACTCATGTTCATTGAGTCAGTGATGCCATCCAACCATCTCATCCTCTGTTGCCCCCTTCTCCTCCCACCGTCAGTCTTTCCCAGCTCAAGGGGCTTTTCTAATGAGTCAGCTCTTTGCATCAGGTGGCCACAGTATTGGAGCCTCAGCTTCAGCATCAGTCCTTCCAATACTATTCAGGATTGATTTCCTTTACGATTGACTGGTTTGATCTCCTTGCAGTCCAGGGGACTCTCAAGAGTCTTCTCCAACACCACAGTTCAAAAGTATCAATTCTTTGGCACTTCCTAGGTTTTTATTACTGTGGGGCCCCAGCTCTGTGATGGTCTCTTACAGCCATCCCTGGCCTGCAGAGGAGGCCACCTCTGAACCTAATGACACTGGTACCCCTCTCACCAGTGTATGCCTTGGCGAATGGGATATCCTCTGGACCCTGCTATGGAATACTACCCTCTGGTGAGGTTTCTTACCTCATGTAATCTCTCTTCTCCAGGATACCTACTCCCCTTGGCCTCTTCATTCCTTCCTTGGTCCTTTGCCAGGACAGCTCAGGTGTTTCTACTTTGCTTAGTGGTGGCCAGCACTTTCTCCAGTCTTCTGTGAGCCACCCCAGTGGAAACTGCACCCCTCTGCAGTTCTTACCTGGGGGTTAAATTCTGTATGTGTGTGTGTGCGCGTGTGCTCAGTTGCTACAGTCGTGTCTGAGTCTGCAACCCTAGACTGTAGTCTGCCAGGCTCCTCTGACAGTAGGCTTCTCCAGGCAAGAATACTAGAGTGAGTTGCCATGCCCTCCTCCAGGGGATCTTCCCTGCCCAGGGATTGAACCTGCATCTCCTGTGTCTCCTGCATTGCAGCCAGATTCTTTTACGACTGAGCCACTTGGGAAGCCCTCTAAATCCCTATGCTGAGTTCTAAGTCTGAATTCTTGCTTTTCTGATTCTTGATACAGCACCCTTGAAAACCAAACCCAGTGTTCCCATGGCTCCTGTCAGTACTGACGCCTCCCCTTCCGCCTCCCCTTCCAGCGCCCCTGTGTGGGGAGGCCCGAACAGGGTCTTATTTTGTGCTCACATCTTATTTGTGTGCTGGTTTTACTTACTTCATATCTGCATTTCTTTGTGTTTATATTTTCACTATCCTTGTCATTTTTCAGTGCCTGTATAGCATTCTTTCCTGATAATACACCACATGTGTCCCACTAGGATTGTTTTAATTTTTCTTCATAATTAATAGTAATGATATGTACATTTTTATATAGTCTTTTACATTTTTTTTCACTTTATATTATTCCCTTGGACAAAATTTCCCTAAGTGTAGTTACCAGGTCCAAAAGTACAGCTGGAACCATAATTCATCTTATTGTTAGATTGCTGTTCAGAAAGATCAAATTTGTAGGATTGTCACCACTGTACCCTTGCCTGGAAAATCCCATGAACGGAGAAGCCTGGTAGGCTGCAGTCCATGGGGTTGCAAAGAGTCTGACATGACTGAGCGACTTCACTTTCACCACTGTAGAGTTCAAATGTAATTTCCTACATCTGGCAACACTGGATTTTTATCATTTTATTCCTTTTTTCATCTCTGAAACATATATTGTGATACATTTGAGTTATTCTAATTTGCATTTTCTTTTACTGCATTGTTTTAGTGCTTTCATTTTTTTTATATTTAAATGGTTTCATCTCTAAGGACTGTAGTTGCCAGCTCATACATTCTTAATGTATTTTGGCCAGCAGACTTTGAAGAGCTATGGTAAGCACCTTTCCTCTCATTCTGGTGCTCACCTTTTGACATTTAGTTCATTAGACAAAAGAGCATTTTAAAAAAATGACTGATTTTATTTGAGACTATGAATGCAGTGATATTAGGACATAGTAGCTGTCAGATAGCATGCACGCATTCTCTCCATCCATTCTCATCTCCCTCCCTCTTCCTCTCTGTTTTCTGCCTTTTTTGAGGGAGGATATTAGACTTCTTGCTAAAGTCATATGAAAATATACTTGTTATCCATAGCCTATCTCTGAGAAGGATACTGGACCCATTGGTAATAGAGATTGCTTTGGGAGAGGTGAACCAGGCAACAGCTGGGAGAGGAGAGGGAAACTTTTCACTGTAGCTTTTATAACTATTGATTTCCAAACTAGATTGCTGTTACTTTAAAAAAAATTTTTTATTTTTTGGTATTACTTTTTATTTTTTTTTTATTGGTCTTGCTTGCTTATGTAAGATCAGTGCTTGTCATTATTGTGGATCTTTAAAAGCTAACTTTAGAACTTAT